AAAACACCATCCATATAAATATTTAGTTGTCACAACATTTTGAAAAGTTGTATTTTTTGCTTTTTGTATTTTCATTTTGAACGAATCTTGTTTTCTCTGTGTATTGTCTATGTTCTCGTTTTGTTCAGGATCAAAAATCATGCACGAATGAATCCATATAGTGAACAAAACAAAACAAAACAAAAAAATGATGAAATTTTTGTCTTTCTATTCAGAATTTCATTCCATCAATGACTTTTTTGTTGTTGTTGTTTGTTTGATGATTGATCTTTTTGTCATTCTTCATTCTTCTTCTGGTTCTTGTTCGTCGTTGTTCGCTGTTGTCTTTTATTATTTAGATTCCATGTTTTTTTTTCTCAAAATGAATTGAATTGGAAATATAGAAAAAAGAGATTCATTTTTTTCAAGTGAAAAAAAATGATGAAAAATATTTTTCAAACAAACAAAAAAGTCAAAAAAGTAAAATTCATTTGAAAACAACCAAAGAATTGCAACAAAAGGGCAAAACAAGCAAAATTCTTTACAATTGTTCAGGTGGAATGAAACAGATGAAACAAAACTGGAAAAAATTTTTATTATTAAATTTGATAATTCAATTATAAAATGTTTGAAAATTGTTTGATTCTATGTCATATGAGATTAATTAGTTTGACGATGATGATGATGACATTATGTTTGATTTCAATTGTTCTGTGTCCAACCTAGATTGATTGATTTTGTCTGTTTCTTTGTCCTGTTTGTAAAGAAATTTACCCTTGTTTTTTATCATTGTCGAAACAAAAGAAAAGAAAAGAATGATGATTACATTTATGCGGGTAATAAATCACTTTGAATGGGAGAGACAATAGAATCTGTGTGTATTTAAAATTCAAAAAAGAAGAAAAAAAAATTTCTTGAATGTCAAATAATACAATGGGAACGAAAGGGGGGAAAATTCTTTTGAAATTTACGTATTTTTTCACCATCATTTTTATATAATTGATCTTTACATAAACGATCCATAGATGATGATGTTTTTACAGCTTGCCTTTAATGTGACAAATTGAATCGATCCAGTATCGTTTGTTTTTTCGCTTGTTTTTCTTCTTCCCATTTCCCATTCACATTCCATCATCATTATCGAATTGTTTGCCTGGGTTAAAGAAAGAAAAGAAAGTGTAAAAAAAATCACATCCATTTTGTCGCCGTTTTCCATCATTTAACCATATAGCAGCCTGCAGCCTGCTGCTGTTGATCTGATTTATGAAAATTACCTTTTTTTTGTTTCAAACAAACCATCATTCTTTCAGTCGCTATTTTTACCCAATTCCAAACGCACACACACACACATGGAGGAAAGAAAAACATTAAATTCTTGAAGCAATTTAAAAATCGATTCTCTCGTCAGGACCGTCAATCGTTTTCCATCAACCAACCAACCACCCTCAACCGTACGAATCCCACCATAATCCATTCTAATTTGTCGACGGTTTTATTCCTATGTAGGTTTTTTGGTAATAAAAATAGAAAAAAGTCTTTTTTTTTTCTCGTTCGGCATTTTTTCAATCTTTTTTTTTCGAAACGAAAAAAAACGAGGATTCGGAAAGTATTTTCTCGGTTTTCACATACTTTTACTTTATCAAAATGAATTTTATTTCTTTCACATTTTACTTACTTACCGGATTTCTTGTCTGTTTATTTCCGCCATATTTTTTTTTCTTCTCTCGATGTTGTTGATTTCAGGCCAAAATTGTCATCAACAAAGCCAAATCACTTGAAATGGAATGCATGACTGGATGATGGATTTTTTATTTAATATTTTTTTCTATTTTGCACAACAAACTTTAATCATAACTCTCTCTCCCACTCTCTTGCTTTATTTTTCGTTCGGTAATTCTTTTCTTGTAATTCTTTTTCTGTAAATGTGAATTTTGGAAAATGTCAAACCGGAGAAAAAAACAGGTAACATAATCATCATCATCATATAATATTTCAGAAATCAAAAACCTTGGTAGAGAGAAAGACATCATCTTTGAGTTTTCTAAAAAAA